TATATATATATATATATATATATATATATATATATATATATATATATGTGTGTGTGTGTGTGTATATATATATATATATATATATATATATATGTGTGTATATGTGTTTTAACATCAAATCTGATCACACAGAAACAAACAGAAACTCTGGAAACATGAAGAAAAAGAAGAAAACTTAAAACTAAGTGGACCACACCAGAGCGTCACGCTCACAGATGACCTTTTGAAAACTTGATGACATTATACGCCTCCAGCTCTGTGTGGGCGGTGTCCCAGGAATCATCATAACAGACTCATTGGCAATGTTCTTACTCCCCCAGAACCTTCAAATGAGAAACATGAACATCAGAACATGAACATCATGACATCAAAACCAACGATTGCAGCAGCTGATTAAAGAGAAGAACTCCTGAAACAATTTCAGAAGGAGTTTTTAAATGTAATTTTTTTTTTGTGGTATTTAGTCAAATAAATCCATCCATCCATTTTCTTCCTCTTATCCAGGGTTGGGTCGCGGGGGTAGCAGCTTAAGTAGGGAGGCCCAGACTTCCCTCTCCCCAGCCACTTGGTCCAGCTCCTCCGGGGGAATCCAGAGGCGTTCCCAGGCCAGTCGAGAAACATAGTCCCTCCAGCGTGTCCTGGGTCTTCCTCTGGGTAGGAACCTAGACTCATCGGTAAATTGAGAGCTTCGCCTTTTGACTCAGCTCTCTCTTCACCACGACAGACCGGTACAGCGCCCGCTTCACTGAAGATGCTGCACCTATCCACCAATCGATCTCACGCTCCATTTTTCCCTCATTCGTGAACAAGACTCCAAGATACTTGAACTCCTCCACTTGGGGCAGGACCTCCTCCCTGACCCGGAGAGGGCACTCTGCCCTTTTCCAGCTCAAGACCATGGCCTCGGATTTGGAGGAACTGATCTTCATCCCGGCCGCGTCGCATTCGGTTGCGAACCGCTCCAGTGAAAGCTGTAGATCACGATCTGATGAAGCCAATAAGACCACATCATCTGCAAAAAGCAGAGACGCAATCCTAAGGCCACCAAAACGGATCCCCTCAACACCTTGGCTGCACCTAGAAATTCTGTCCATAAAAGTTATGAACAGAATCGATGACAAAGGGCAACCTTGGCGGAGTCCAACTCTCACCGGGAACAAGCCCGACTTGCTGCCGGCGATGCGGACCAGGCTCTGACACCGGTCATACAGGGACCTAACAGCCCATATCAAAGGGCCCGGTACCCCATACTTCCAGAGTACCTCTCACAGGGTTCCCCGAGGGACGCGGTCGAACGCCTTCTCCAAGTCCACAAAGCACATGTAGACCGGTTGGGCAAACTCCCACGCACCCTCCAGGACCCTGCTGAGAGTGTAGAGCTGGTCCAGTGTTCCAGGACGAAAGCCGCGCTGCTCCTCCTGAATCTGAGGTTCAACTATCCGACGGACCCTCCTCTCCAGTCAAATAAATCTCTGTCACAAATAGCAACAATTATAAAATCACAGAAGCAGCTCTTCTTTAACAAACAAGCTGGATGATTGGAAGTTATTTTAATTTATTCTTAAACTCAATTAAAATAGCAAACTGGATATTGATGAGAAAAGACAAAATCACACCAAAAATAAAAAAAAAGTAAAATAAAACCTTTTCTGATTGAATTGCTTTGGTTTAATTGCAGCTTTGTCTTTGTTTAACTAAATAAAACAATTAGAAAATAACTAAATTAAGTTGAACTGATGCAAACAAATTTGAACTGAAGTGAAAATTTGATTTAGAATCTCCATTAAAGTTGCTGGTTTTGTTTCTTTATCATCCAAGAAATGGTACATTTACCCTAAACATTTCAAAATGAAACAAGTTTTATTTTGCAGCTGAAGATGTGTTGATTCCAATAAGAGAAACTTTCTTAATGCAGAAAGGGACAAAGTGGAATTTTTGCTCGTACCTCGCTTATAAAATACACAAAAACTGTCTTTTCCTTAAAGGGCCAGTCAGTCTGATATGATGCTCTGATTAAATTGAAATAAGAAAAATCTTGTTTGGAAAGATAAAGGAGATTTATTAATTTTTTCCCTTTCATTCAGATCTTCTCTTGGTTGTATTAACTTAACACCGTTTTTTCCGGCATATAAGTTGCAGTTTTTTGCATAAATTAGCATGCCTGCGACTTATACAGTGAAGTGACGTATTTATGTTGTTTTTTCCATATTTACAAACCAATTTTTGGTTGAGATCTGACGATTTCATTCATTCTTACATGGTGTAGGGTTCTAAGGGCTATGTTTGACTGCCCTTGACTACAATATATTTAAATAAACAGGTTCTCTCTTTTTCGAGCTAAATTACAGCCATGTGACCGAGGTAACTGTGCGTAGATTGTTTAATCAGTGACATGAGATGTTAATTTTCTTTGACCCATCAGAATAAATGTGGTCATTTATGGAACAGAATCAAAATTTAACATCAAAATGTACAAGTGATTAGCTGATCTGGTTCTGATTAATAAAACTTGGCACGTTTTACTTAATAAAAACAATAGACATTTCTGAAGGCATCTAGATTAATTACTGGCAAAATAGAAGAGTTTAAAGATGGGAAAAGAAGGGGTTTAAATGGAGAGAAAAGATGGATAAAAAGGAATGTGTGTTGACTAGGAATGGCACCCTTCATCCGACCCCAGCTCAGCCCTGGTACACTAGGTGCGTGGCGACTCGTTACCTTAGAAGGGGATACCTCCGCTCAGGAACAGGAGTCCATTTCAACGCTACCTTTCAGCGTCTCCGGCAAGGATGGCTGAGAATCGTCCGAAGTAGTGACGGTACTCCGTTCAACGGTCAAATCCATCAGCTATGGATTAAATCTGAAAGTTCCTTAAGAACCCTCAGGAAGACTTCAGTCAAAGATTCCACTCAGACGCGGAGGACTCCATGAAAGACTGAAGAAGACTCTGGTCCAGGACTCCAGAAGACTGAAGACCGACTCAAGACTGACAGACCCAGTTGACCTGATTGACCTGAGAAGTTCCAGGAAGTGTGGACTCTTAAAGAGTTCTCACTTCCGGTCACCTCAGGACTTCCTGATTGGTTGAAGCAACCAACAGGGGGTGGTTCTAGTGATGTCAGAGGCTCATTACAAGTCAAGAAAACAGCAGGAAGGTTTTAGAAACGTCCCGTACAGACAGAAGACATGTTAAGGCGAAGTGGGAGGAAGAAAGGCCAGTAGCTTCTTGTTTACCGTCTGCTAGGTTTAAAAACACGACACTTCGTTCTAATAACTTCTTTCTGACTTTCGACCGACCTCACTACTCTCTCATTCAGACAGAAGTTCAAAAATGCATAATTACTTTGTAAAATAGACATTTAACTTGATTTCTAATTTAAATGAGGATTAAAAATCATTAATACTGTTTCACAGTTGATTTAAAATGAGTGGTTCACTTCAACATTTAGAAATGGTATGAACTAAACACACTTTTGATTTATCAAGATATTGTAAAATAGTAATGATAATATAGAAGAAGAGTGTGCTTTCAATTGATTACTTCAGGATACAATTAGACAGTCTCTGGATGAGATAATTTGCATTTCTGGATTCAAATCAATGAAATAACAGTTTCTGTCCCATGAAGGTCCTCAGAGGCAGGTTTTGGTCTGAGGCCGAGTTCACTACAATGGAAAATATTGAACACTACCATTTTCAGCCTTTAGAGGGCGCTTGACATATATGGCAAGCCAAGTGTCTCATTAATAGGTAAAAGTGGACATTAATGAGACAAGGCAACCGGCCCAGACAACGTCCCCGGGAAAATATTGAAAGAATGTGCCGATCAGCTCTGCGAGGTGCTGGCTGACATCTTTAACACTTCACTTACCCTGGAGACAGTTCCCATCTGCCAGAAGACTGCCACCATCATCCCAGTCCCAAAAAGCTCTACAGTGACTGGTTGGAATGACTATCGACCAGTGGCCCTCACCCCGATAGTCGCTAAATGCTTTGAAAAACTGGTCCTGACCAGGGACTAGGGCATTAACAGAGTACTCGAGTAATTTACACATCGATTGCTAGGACATCTATCGATGTTAAAAATGTAAAGTCGGGTATCCGTAGTGACATCATATTATGTGACCACCGTATGACCGTAGGGGGCAGAGTTGCACTGTTGCAGGTCACAGAGTATGGTGTAACACCGGGTCCTATCCACCGAACCAGTTTCGGTTTAAGTTTCGTTTTTGACGTGTTGCGTTTCTTCACGTTTGCAGTTTAATAATAATAACTAATGGTTTAGTTTTTCCTGTGACTTATTTACAGTAGGATAAATGGTAGGAGCATAATATACGCTCCCAATGTTTTGTTGATCTGTTTTTTTGTAAATAATTACAGTTTTTTGCGGTTTTATTTATTTATTTATTTTTGTATCTTGAGATCTATGACGTCATCAAATACTCGAGTTCTACTCAGGTTTTATCATGTTAATGTCGAGTTTAAAAATTATATACTCGTTCAACCCCTAGTCCTGACCCACATCAAAACAGCCATCAACATCAACGAGGACCCTCATCAGTACGCATACCGTGAGAACCGATCAACAAAGGATGCCATGTCCTCTGTGGTCCACACTGCGCTCAACCACCTGGAGCAGAAAAACTCTTACGTCCGTATGCTCTTTGTGGACTTCACGTCTGCCTTCAACACCATGATCCCCCAAACCCTGATGGACAAAATACTCACATTAGGACTAAGCCCCTCCATTTGCAACTGGGTACTAGACTTCTTAACAAACAGACCACAGCCAGTGAGGATCCACAACTTCTCCTCCTCCACCATAACCCTCAGCACTGGCTCTCCTCAGGGATGTGTGTTGAGCCCCCTCCTGTTTACTCTGCTCATGTATGCTTGTGCAGCTACCCATCCAGGCTGTCACATTGTAAAGTTTGCAGATGATACAGCGGTGGTGGGATGCATCACAAACAACGATGAGTCCAGCTACAGGCAGGAGGTGGAACACCTGGAGAGCTGGTGCAGAGAGAATAACTTTCACATCAATGTGAAGAAGATGAAGGAAATGGTTGTGGACTTCAGATGGAACAAACACACCTATACCCCCCTGAACATAAGAGGATCTGTGGTGGAAGTGGTCTCCAGCTACAAGAACTTGGGTGTACACATGAATGGCAACCTCAGCTGGAGCAACAACACCACCAGCCTGATCAAGAAAGCTCATCAGAGACTCTACTTCCTCAGACGGCTGAGACGAACTGGTCTGGGAAGCTCAGTCCTCACCTCCTTCTACAGGAGTGCAGCGGAGAGCATCCTGTGCTCCAGC